ATCCACAAAATCTTTATCATCTGAAAGCTTCCCAAGCCCCCGTCAAAACGATTATGAAAACTGCTGAAACTAGAGCTTTTCTGAGAAGCCAGTCAAGGAGCCTCAGCACCAGCAAGAAGATAGGTGGGGGGTAGGAATCATCACTTGCTCTTAAGCTTATTTATTGGCATGCATTTAACACAGACACAACAACAAGAAGCAATAAATCACCGCCCATGATAAGTGCCAGATGGAAAGCCCCAGATGAAATTCAAAACATCCCTCTTGAAACAACTGAGCACTGAAATAAATACAAAGGAAGTTGGTACATCCAGGATATTAAAAGGGAAAAGTTTCAGGAAGTTGACATTGAGAAATGCCCTACAAAGCAGTTTCTATTGGGGGGAAAGGGGACACCACCATCCACTCTAAATGAATGGTTTCAAACTTTTTTTTCCATTTGCTTTTTTGCAATGTACCCTCTCTGTGCTTCTCCAGATCTCACGATAGTATCCCAGAGTTTCTCCCCATCTTCTTTTGAACTCAGGATCCACCACAGTATTACCTGCAAAATCCCATTAATTGACTAATTTTCTCTGAACACAGTCTGGCTTATCACGTTGTACAAATGTGTGTGCAGTTTGGCACCCAGCCTGTTGATAGTAAGTTTCAATTAACCCTGTCCCAGATACTTCTATTTAGCCCAAACCTACTCACTGGACAGTATCCAAAACTCTGATCCAATTGATTGTAGGAGGAAAGATTTTGAGTTGCCAGTCGCTCCTGAGAGAAAAATCTGATTTGGAGAAGATGTAAAACCCTCCCTGAGGTCGGCTGGCTTTCAATCATCTGAGATAGACCTTCGCCATGAAGTCAAATGCTGACTGTAACTTGTGTGAGAGTGTGTATGTTCTAAACTACTGTATACCACTAACTTGGAGCAAAGGGGGATGACCAAGGAAGAAGTTGTGCCTGCCAGTTCCATGTTTGGAGGAGACTCTCAGCACTGGCCTACACTTAATAACTCCCCTTATATTTGAAATAACAAACTGAGAGTCCACACTACCAAGCACGTTACAGTATTTAAAAATAAAGGGCTGGTTATTTCAAAATAACTATTCCCCAGAGTCTTTCGAAGTAATTACTCCCCAGTGCTGCCTGGGGCTCTAAGTCAAAGTAGCACGTTCGCATTAAGGGAGCCTGCCTCGGACTAAAAATTAAATTATTGGAGATTGCCTAGAACTGGAAGGGACCTTGAAAGGTCATTGAGTCCCGTCCCCTGCCTTCAGAGCAGGACCAAGCCCCAACCCTGACAAATTTTTGCCCCAAATCCCTAAATGGCCTCTGTAAGGATTGAACTCACAACCCCGCATTTAACAGGCCAATGCTCAAACCACTGAGCTATACCTCCCCTGCTAATTTCAAGGCTTCCCTGTAGTGTGGACATGCTAGTTTGTAATAGTTATTATTTTGAAATAAGTTATTTCGAAATAATTTCCTAGTGTAGACATGCCCTCCGGAGGCAAAAAGGACTCGACTGCTATTTCGCCATTGTTACCTTCTCTCCCTCCTCCTCCCCAGTCTATGAAGTACTGGGATTCTGGGCCAGGGTGGGGTGTGTGGACAGGCTGAGACTAGAACATACACTGCCAGTCCTCTGGACCTGCAGAAATTCCTGGGGCACTGTCATCCTTTCTGTGGCCCCCGCTACAAGGTAGCAATCCCTTGAAAGGGAACACTGATGGCCAAGGAAGAATCTGCTAGCTTCCCACAAATCCCACAGGCTTTTTCTGGGTGGAGTCCACAGTCTGTTTCATTTGCAGGAGCAAACTCTGATTCTCCTAATGGGGTAGAGAGATTGTCATAGACTGACCGCCGGAGGTCAGAGCAGGAGTCAGGTGCCAGGAACTGGTGGCCAGCTACAGAAACAGTCAGGATGGGAATTGGGCCCAAGATGAGAGTCTGTAGCCAGGAACAGGGTACAAAAACAGGGATCTGGAACAATGCAGAAGATCAGGAATCAAACAGAACAGGAAGGCAGGAATCAGGAACAAGGCTGGGTGCAAGAGTCAGGCAAGAAGGAAGATCTGATATAGCTGCAGGCTAGGAATTCACTTTGTTGCTTGGACAACTTGCTGCACTGCTTTCTGGTTCAAAGAATGAGTCTGTGCCAACTGGAGAGGCCAAACATCTCCTCCAAATGGGAGCTTCATGGGCAGTGCCTATGGAGAACTAGGGTCCACCAGTCCATACTCTTTGCTGGTACCAGTCAGGTGGCAGCTGCAGTCAGAGGACTGTCCAGACACCTGCATTGGAGACCCACAATCCCTCATGGGACACCCTACCAGACACTTCCTTTCCCAAACTCATTCTCACAGATTTTTCACAGGGACAGATGACGAAGCCTATTAAAACAATGCTCCAAATTCAATGGTGTTTTGCCTGGATGTGCATGTTACAAGACTGTCTCACTAGGAAAACCTGTAGCACCAAATCAGCAACATAACTAAGGCTAAGCATGTTTGTCATGGCAATGACTTCCAGGAAGAAAATAATGATTTTTAGGGAGTTATATGATGATTTCAGTCACCCGGATCAATCTGTTATTGAACAAGACTCATCCATGAGTGCTCATAGCATTCTCTCTCTGTTACGTGGCGGGCATATAAGCTCTTCTTTAATCATTAGCATCCAAATCCTTCAGGCAACTTGGAAAACTTGACCAGACAGCCCATGGTTTACAATACAAATTGTTAAAAGGAAGGTCATTGGGAACTAGTGTCCAAATACCTTAAGGAGCCCCGAAAATCATGACTTTATAAAAGGATTACACGGAGCCCCAACTGGAACGTACTTTTATGACCTCAAACTGGGAACATTAACATTCTATAAATTGTCAGCAATTTTAATTTGGGAATATCATTCAAAAACAAACAGAAACATAGGGAAGAATTAGGATTCTCTTGATCCATATTGTATGTATATTCCTTTCAACTGTACTCTCCTATCTACTCTTAAAAGAACTTCTGCCACTAAGACCAAGGTAGGGTAGGAATGTTTTCCAGCACTGGTTCCTTTCTTCTATTAAATCCTTCCAGAATGAAACCCCTAAACCTTAATACATTCACTGCTACCAAGTTAAAGTTGAAGTAATGACTGATGTGGGGTTGTTTTGCCTAAAGAGAGACAATTAAACTTCTAAGGCTCAACAAGAATAGAAAGAGCAGGTGTTTTAATATTTAGACAAACACAACTTTAGAGCAAACTAGTTGATTATTTTAACACAGCTAGAAATTAAACAATAGTAATATTCACCATGTGGAATCAGACAGGTTTTGTGCTAGGCCAAGAAAGAGATAGCTAGTTTAGAGCATGCTAACGAACTGCCTCCTTTTAGCATGTACTGAGGACATCTATTTCAGACAAGGATCTCTGTATTTGAGGGAAGAGGCTGACATGGAGTGGTGCAAATGGGGTGCAAATAAGCAATGCCCCAATGCCCCGCAACTGGAACCACCACAAACTCTCGGACTGAAGATGGAAAACACAGATTACATGAGCACATGACTCAATCAGCCAGTATTACACTGCTTTGCCTACTGAAAATAGGTACAGCCCATCTAACTCTCCAAACACTTCTGTACTCAGTGTTGGGTGAATTACACCTCTGCTGTCAGGACTCAATACTGAAAATGTGTATGTGTGGAGGGATAATTTTATTTTAAAATGTTGAAGCCAAACAACAACATATTTTCAGGTGCCAGCTATATCTGTGCCCACAACATGCTGTTCCAATGAGCTATTGGCTTCTAAAAGAAACAAAAAGTAACTGCCCAACCCAGCCCTACACTGTTAAATGATTAGGAAGCAATCATTTATAAGCCACAATGGGCTAAGGGGACCAAGAATTCAGAATTCTTCAGTCTTTCAGCCAGTGAGAACTATAAGCAAAACATGAGGAGATGATAAAACCAAACACTGAAATGTCAAGTAAAAAAGTAAATATTGGAAGTTACTCCTTAGTAAACATGTGATTAAATTTCTAATGAGGACTAATTAATATTTACCAAAAACACCATCCCGTTGCTTCTGGCATGAGCACTATCAATCAAGATATACACACAAACAAATATCTCATCCCTTTCTCCTGGTGATGAAAAAGGGCATTCTGAAATGAATCAGACTAGAATATGTTTCCCTGGTGCTTTCCTTTGAAGCTGGAGTGGAATATATCAGAGCAGTAAATTTGCTTACCCTTCTGTTCTGTACACTGAACACCTCTCCAGAGGAATTTTTAGCACTCCATTATTTAAACCCACAAAAAGTGACCTGTCACTATGCAGGATTTGGAGGCTTTTGATTGGTTCCTGTTGACCGTCGGGAAGAATCTGCATTTCCTCTAAATAACAACTCCTCAGGCTCCTATTAGTGGTAGAAAGTGCCTTCAAAATGGTGCCATACTCTAATGGAAGAAAAAGCAAGAAGCAAGTAAATCTTAGCAATATTGATTCAATTTTGTAGCTAGCACGAAGGCTAAAGATTAACAACATCCTATTTACATAGACACTTTAAGGCTTGTTTCCTCTAATTTTTTTGTAAACATTTTTGGTATCCAGGGTAGAAACTGCCTCAGCTTCACGGGTGCAATTCACTTCCAGAAGCACTGAAGGAATTTTTATAGTGGAGCTGCTAATAGCCATTGAACCAAACTGTACACCCTTCCCGGCCAATGGAAAGTGGCACAGACTGGGACGCTGCCTCCCACACCTCCCATTGGCAAGGAACAGCAATCTTCAGCCAATGGGAGCTGTAGGAAGCAGCGTAGACTGGGACACCACTTCCCACATGTAAGGGGACTGTTAGCCCCTTACTAAAACCCAGTGGGAGGTTTTGGTTGGCCAGCTCCCAGTACCAAAAGGGGAAGGGTCCATGAGAAATCAGGGCCCTGAGACTGACAGACCCCAGGGACAATGGGAAGAAGCCAACACTCCAGCTCAGCCTGATTGACAGGTTGGACAGGCAAATGAGGAAATTAGGAGGTCAGGTTCCATCCTCCGTGTGAGCTGGGATTTTCTGGGTCTCTCTGAGAAAAGGAGAGAGAGCAGAGAAGAGCAAGCTGTACTGAGGGGCAGTCCTGCAGTGACAGAGCCAGACACACACAGCCCAAGGTGGGCAGACCCTGTGGTGAGCAGCAGACTTACAGTGATCAGAGAGCCAAAGGGGTCAGAGATGCAATGCAAGGAGCAAAGCAGCACAGTCTGCAGCTGGGTGTGGTGAGCAGCTGGGACCAGCAAAGTGGGGGGAGAGGTTCTGGGCAGGGAGATGCCACCAGTCAAGAGGCCCTGCAGGCCAGACTTGGAGAGGGATTGTAACTCCAACTAAGAGAGGGGTCCTGCCACCTAGAGCCTGAGGCCGTGTGGTCACTGCCAGAACAAGCGTATTCAACCTGCAGCCCCCTTGCAGCACAGCCAGGGCCTGAGAGAGAGCCCTGGGACTCATAAGGAACAGACTGTGAACTGTCCTTACACTCTGCAGACTGCTGTTTGTGATGTCCCCGTGCTACAGAGCGGGGCTGTGTGTTCTCATTTAACCATTCTCATTTTTTCCTTTTTCTTTTCTTTTTAATCAGCTGCTGTTTAATAAACTGTATTCACTTTGGGTATGTCTACACTACAAAGTTAATTCGAACTAACAGACGTTAGTTCGAATTAACTTTGATAGGCGCTACACATGCAAACCGCTAGTTCGAACTTAATTCGAACTAGGTAAACCTCATTGTACGAGGACTATGCCTAATTCAAATTAACTAGTTCGAATTAAGGGCTGTGTAGCCACTTAATTCGAACTAGTGGGAGGCTAGCCCTCCCCAGCTTGCCCTGGTGGCCACTCTGGGCACCACCAGGGAAACTCTTCTGCCCCCCTCCCGGCCCCGGAGCCCTTAAAGGGGCACGGTCTGGCTACGGTGCCCGTGCCAGGTGCAAGTCTGCCAGCCCCCAGCCAGCAGACCCTGCACCTGGCACGGCAGGAGCCAGTCACCCGCTGCCACCCAGCCCTCCCCCTCTTCCCAGGATCAGGCTGGCGGCTCCCAGGAGCCTGCCCGGGGCTGCAAGAGGCGGGCGCCCGCCTGGTCTAGTGCAGACATCGTGGACCTCATCCACAACCTCCGCACTAGACACATGAAAGTGGCCGTCTCGGGCAGGAGAGCTGCCAGCCTGGCCACCCAGGAGCAGGTTTTCATGAAAATCAAGGTGGTCCAGTGAGACCCCCGACCCTGAGCCCTGAGCTTAGAACGGCCGTCCTGGGTCAGAACAAAGGGCCATCTAATCCAGTAGCCTGTCTGCCGACAGCGGCCAACACTAGGTATCCTGGAGGGGATGGACCGAAGACAATGACCAAGCCATTTGTCTCATGCCATCCATCTCCAGCCTTCCACAAACAGAGGCCAGAGACACCACTCCTACCCCCTGGCTAATACCACTCCATGGACCAAACCTCCATGACTTGATCTAACTTCTCTTTAATCTCTGTTCTAGTTCTAGCCTTCACAACCTCCTGCAGCAAGGAGTTCCACAGGTTGACTATTTGCTTTGTGAAGAACAACTTTCTGTTACTAGTTTGAAGCCTGCTACCCATTCCTTTCCTTTGGTGTCCTCTAGTCCTTCTTTATGGGAACTAATGAAGAACTTTTCTTTATACACCCTCTCCACGCCACTCATGCTTTTATAGACCTCTGTCATATCCCCCCTCAGTCTCCTCTTTTCTAAACTGAAAAGTCCCAGTCTCTTTAGCCTCTCTTTATATGGGACCTGTTCCAAACCCCTGATCATTTTAGTTGCCCTCCCCTTTTCCACCCTTTCTCTTCCCCTCTCCCACCTCCTTTTCCCAGTCCCCCCCAGTTTTGTTCAATAAAGAGAGTTTCTATTTTTGACCACACGTGTCCTTTATTTTGCACATCAGGAAGGGGGGCTAGAGAGGGGTAAGTGGAAGGAGGTGAGGGAGGAATGGGGTACGAGCCCCCGATGAGGAGGACTGGGGTGGCTCTGCGGGCTCCTCGGGGTGGAAGCTCTCCTGCAGCCCCCCGATTGACACCCCCCCTCCCGGATGGCAGCCTCCGGCAAGTGCAGCCGGGCTGATGGCTGAGTGCTGTGATGTGCTGAGTGTGGGCACTCAGGGCACTCCAAGCCAGGACTGCTTTGCAAGCAGAGAACCCCTGAGAACTGTCTGTCCGGGGTGGGGGTCAGGACCCTTTAAACACAGCCCTCGGCTAGCCTGAGACAGCAGCTCCCCGCTCTAAGTCCTAATCTGATGCCCTGCCAGCTCTGCTTCCGGCCATCCTTAACCTCGGTTCAGGGTCCACTCAATGTGGACATGCTAGTTCGAATTAGCAAAATGCTACTTCGAACTAGTTTTTAGGTCTAGATGCACTAGTTCGAATTAGCTTAGTTCGAATTAACTAATTCGAATTAAGTTAGTTTGAATTAGTGCTGTAGTGTAGACACCCTTTGAACTGTATGTAATGATCACTGGGTCAAGAAAGCATCCAGTGTAAAGAGAGCACCCTGGAGTGGGGACAACCTAGCCCCTTTCCTAAGTGTCTACAAGGTCAGGGATTAAGCCCGGTCCCAGCCTTGTTGGGATTTCGAGGACTCTGCTACTCAGGAGAATGGGGAGGCCTCAGAGTCAGGGAGGTGGTTGGGTAAAGGAAGTGGGAGCGGGGACTCAGATCCTTTCGCTGGTCCATTTCACCGGGGTGTATAGAAGCCAGGAAAGTTCCCCACAATAGCGGGACCATTCCCCCGCTTACACACAGCTCCCATTGGCTGGGAACAGTGATCCACAGCCAACAGGAGCCGCAATCGCCTGCGTCTGTGGAGAGGTGGGTAAATATAGCTAACCCTGGGGAACCGGATCCGGCCTGTAAATTTGTATTTAGGCACCCCTGATCTAAGCCATCATGAAATTTGGGGTCAATTCAGTTTTGAGTTGAAATCTGCCTTTACTCTCCAGGATCCAATATGCTCAAGACTCCTTCTAACTGTGACTCTCAGCCTTTGAAAGGTCTCAGTTTAAACAGATTCTAGGCTCTAGTGACCACCTCCAGTGTCCAGAGAAGCAGATGTGTATAAGAAAATAGATGATAAAGTACAATGTCGGCTTCACAGATAATAAAAGGCAGGAAGCAAAAGGAATTAAAAATCTCAGTCTTCCACTTCTCCTTCTTCTGGCAAAGTAACTAGGACACCTCATTGAGGAATAAAAAGTAGAAGTGGCAAAACCATGCTATATTTCATTTGAAGTATGGTTCTCTCGTCACGATCACGTCCATGCAGGCTTAAATAGGGGGAATGTTACTAGAATATATCAAAGCTAATCACTTTCAAAGTAAGTGGTGGTAAAAGTTACATAAATTATGACACAATCCTGGAAGATGGTAAGTTCAGAGCAAAAGGATGACTCTATATTGCAGTGTTAGTTTAATCTAACACTTTCAGAGGTAATATATCTTACTATAAAGTCAACTCTCTTACAACAGAGGATGAAAACATTACACCCATGAGACTGGCCATATGCTTCCGATTAATCAAAATATTTAATGTAAATTTGATCTCAAGAATGAATATAGGTTAAGACAATCATTTGTAATACTTTGCCTTTCTTCGTTGCCTTTCATCCACGGTTCTTGTGCTTTGCAGTGTGACCTAATTGTCAGAGACTGGCAGTGGAACCCAAGAATGATCAAATCTGCATTATAATCTCAGTGCTGCCACTGATTATCACCTAATTTGTCTGCCTCATTTTCCCCCATCTGTAATGTGACGATAATAATGCTTACTCTTCTCTTGATCTCATAGAATAGCAGGCATGTAAAAGTACAAAACATTACTGCTGCAAACAACTGAGCTTCACAACAGCATGTGAGTAGGTATAATTGAGATAAGTAGGGCACTACCAAATTCACAGTCCATTTTCGTCAATATCAGGGTCAGAGGTTTTTTTTTAACCTTGTAAATTTCATGATTTGAGCTATTTAAATCTGAAATTTCATGGTGTTGTAATTGTAGGGGCCCTGACCCAGAAAGAAGTTGTGGGGAGTCATAAACATACAGCGGGGGGCAGGAGGCTGTTGCAAGATTGCTACCCGTACTTCTGCACTGCTGCTGGCGGCAGTGCTGCCTTCAGAGCTAAGCAGCTAGAGAGCAGCAGCTGAATGCTGGGAGTCCAGCTCTGAGGGCAAAGCGGCCACCATCAGAAGCACAGAAGTAAGGATGGCATGGTATGGTATTGCCACCCTTAATTCTACGCTGCTGCTTTCTGAGCTGGGCCCTCAGCCAGCACCCGCCACACTCTGGCTGGCCAGCTCTGAAGGCAGCAGCACAGAATAAGGTTGGCAATACTACAACCCCCTTAAAATAACCATGTGTCCCACTCCCCTGCAATTTGACACCTAGTTTGAGAAATGTTGGTCTCCCCCGTGAAATCTGTCTAGGATAGGTTAAAAGCACTCAAAAGATCAGATTTCACGGTCTGTGGCACTTTTTTCATAGCCATGAACTTCGCAGGACTCTAAAGAGAGGTGAACTGTAGCAGGGACAGAATAAACTAGTTTACAAAGGATCATACCCAGCAATTTAGTTACCTAGGGCAAGCCCTTTGCCCTTACCCACCATTGTGCCTTAGCTTAGTCTGATTAGTTGATGCCATGTTAATAAAAGGAAAGGCGTCATCTTTGCTTCTTTATGCACTGCAGATTTAAGGCCTATTCTCTCAGGCTCCTACCTCCAGGTCTCTATACTGTTTTTATCCTTTCCTTATTCCAAAAAGCTACCTTCCATGGAGTTTTGCTTAAAGGGAAAACACTAATGGTCTCCCATGCTGCTAGGGATGTAAAATCCCATTTAAAATGGTAACCAGTTAAACTATATGTTTAATCAGTTGATTGGACACCGTGGCATAATGGGGGCCAGGCCAAGCCAGGCAGGGGCCGGCCACATCACGCCTCAGGCGGGGGGGCTCCTACAGCCTAGTTGGGCTGCAGTGACCCCTTGCCCATGGTGAAGCTTGGCAGGCCCAGCAGGGTGCACCGTGGGCAAGGGGCTGCTGTGTCCCGGCCAGCCTGGAGTGCCCCCTCACCTGTGGTGCATGGGTTTCTTGTGGGTGGGGGACTGCTCCAACCTGGCCAGGCACTGGTTAACAGGTAATTCCTTTACAGTCTTACATGCTGCTATATCTCTGAATGAGGGGACCAATCCCCCTTAAGCACTAATGCTCTTACCTGTCCCAATATACATCACATGGTAGAGAGTATCCTTTCCTTGAACAATGTCGACCACCAGTTTGGAAAATCGAATGCTGTCCTGAGTGACATACGGATCCACGGAGACTGGCTGAACAACGTCATTCATCAGGAACAAGCGCTGGGCATCTTGCAGGATCCTTTCGGTCAGGTTCTCATTAGGGCTGTTGTCATTCAGCGTCCCACACTAAACAGGATGACAGAATGTCAGTAGCTGTATTTGCACTTTGCCCAAAACAACCCTGAAGGCCTTCCTTGGGGAAAACACTCAGTGACTTCTCTGGGAACTATGCCTGAGGAAAAACTTCAGAATTTGGCCCCTTACACTAGTGAATAGGGTTACTGTGAGCTTTAGTCACTCTTCCACCCCATAAAGCACGGCTCCATCAATGCCCCCTCTAATTTTTTCCAGTACATGTGTGGAATACATATTATGTGTATTAAGGCATGTGCGGATGTGCACCACCAGTAGAAACAGATGCTGCCAGCTGTGGGTACTCTACTAATGAGCTGGGTGGATTTCATTCTCTCTTGGGTGGCCACCCAAGCTCACAGCTTACTAGGAACTCTCCATGCTGGTCCATTGGCTATTGAGGCCGTATTTTATTCTCCCGTGACCCCACAGAATGATCATATCTACAGATAAACTACAGGAGTTCAGAATTAATGAGGGGGGGAGAGTTTAAAAAAAAAAAAAAAAGAATGGATGAAGAAATTCAGATGAGAAAAGACGACCCTAAACTTCTATCCTTTCTGAGGTTCTCCCAGGTCTCCCTAGTGTTTCACCCTAAAGTCCATGTGAACCTAAGGTGAACTGGCCCCCCAAATTAACCTTTTAGTGTGAAAACATCACATTCGCCACCTGGCCTCTTCCAAGTGCACCCCCCCAAATGGCTCTCCTAACTTTGAATAAACCTTTGGGGGAGCTGGGGAATTTGTCTGCAACTTCCCTCCAACTCCTACATCTTCAAGGAGATGGCTGGTTAGCCTGTGTCTGACCATCTTCAGGCTTCAGTCGGTCTGGCAAGGTAGGCCTCACATCTCCTGTCCATCCAAAAATGGAACATTTGGTGGTCTCTTAGCCTCAGCTCAATAGCAGCATCCTGTCTACTGCCCTGGTTACCTCAATCTGAGGCCGCAGTTGCCCTGGAATTCACTTGATATCATAGGGTATGTCTACACTACTCCCCTAGTTCGAACTAGGGCGGTAATGTATGCATACCGAACTTGCTAATGAAGCCCGGGGAATTCAAATCCCGGGCTTCATTAGCATAAAGCCGGCGCCGCCATTTTTAAAAGCCGGCTAGTGCGAACCCCGTGCCGCGCGGCTACACGCGGCACGGACTAGATAGTTCGGATTAGTCTTCCTAATCCGAACTATCTAGTCCGTGCCGCGTGTAGCCGCGCGGCACGGGGTTCGCACTAGCCGGCTTTTAAAAATGGCGGCGCCGGCTTTATGCTAATGAAGCCCGGGGAATTCAAATCCCGGGCTTCATTAGCAAGTTCGGTATGCATACATTACCGCCCTAGTTCGAACTAGGGGAGTAGTGTAGACATACCCATACATACTTAGCCTTTAATATTTTCAAAGCACCGTGCAACACCATATTCCTGTTGAAGTCAATGAGATCTTCATTATTGCCTTCACGATTGAATTTCAGTGAGGAAGGCAAGAAGGCCTCCCTGAACCCAAATGAAATATGAGGGAGTCTGATAAATGTCCTGTGCCCCAGACCACAGAATTCAAGGTCAACATTAGGATCCATGCTCAGTCCTAAACTTGGTCCACCCTGTGCTCTTCCCCCCCAATTTACTCATCATGACAGATTGGAAGCTACATCAGGGAACAGGCAAATGATGTTTTCCTAGTTAGGGTGATATTTTTGAATGTTTAATGCAATATCAAACAAGTTCTTCACTATGGTTGGGCACTTCATTGTTTTTGTGAATCCTTGCGGAAAATCTGCAACTAACTTTTTGGGCCAGAGGTAGCGCGAACCAGTGGCAATCCAGGGCAATCAATAGGGTCAGTGTACTCCAGGCGAAAGTCTGGTCCTTTGGTTAGCATCTTTCTAAATTCGCATTCCCAGTGGCTTTTTATCCCTACTCAATCCTTATACAATGCATTTTCTTATAGAAAAGCCCTTTCTATTTCATCAATGCCTCATCCCTGGTTTCTAAAGAAGTCTGGAAGTCTCTCTTTTGCCAGCTTTATCTCTTTCTCCCTTTGTACCTACATGGATCTTGCATCAGATACTCTGATTTTTACCCACTATACCCTCCTTTCCCTTCCCAGGTCATCAGTGAAGGAGGAATCCTGGTGGTTGGAATGTCATTGTTAATTTTATTTCCTACTCCCATCAAGCAGAAGATAACCCTTTTGCTCTATTGGCAGCCTGCATGCTGACTTAGCATCCTCCTGTTTTAGTTTTATTTTGTTTTGTTCCAATTTCTTGATCATGCTGTCTTGGTCCTCTATATCCTTCTGTATTTCTCCTTCCTCTCTGGGAAGATTTTTCCCCCTCTGGCATCCTTCCCTCATCTTCCTTTGTGAACACTGAGTCAAGGAATTAATTTAATTTTTTTTTTGCAATATCTGCCTCTTCTGTCACTAAATTACCCTTGTCATCTCATAAAGGCCCTTCACTGACCTCCTGTTCCTTATGTACTTGAAATACATCCTAATCTCTTTTTGCAATCTTCGTTTCATCTGGCACATACAATCCTTTCCTTTTTTTTTTTAACCTTTTAACACTCTCATATTGGTCCTGCAGTCTCTTCCCCCCCTCTTCCTACCCCCCATTGTATCTGATATTTTACACAGCACACACATTTCTTTTCCAGACTTTATTTGTTTTTCATTCCCGTTCACCCAGAGCACAGTCCAGCAAGGGGCTGAACACCCTCAACTCTCAAGGAACCCTCCAAACCTGACTGGAATCATGGGCATTTGACATGATTGGGTCTTCAGCCAGGCCTCAGATTTTTTTTTTAAATGCGACTAGATTGGGGTGGCCAAAATGTAGCCAATGAAGATGGAGCAATGTATGTTGGAACCTGAAGTCTTCATCAGCTGCACCTCTGCATTAATGACTGGGGAATTAGTCGCTCAATTTGGCACAAGGTCCTGCTGTGACACAGAGATTCACTCAGAGGATGTGAGGTAAGATTTCTGACAAACTGAGGGGGGAGGGAAGAGGGGTGACAAATTCTACATTGCAATGAAGGCACCATGAGATCCTAGCTAGCAGAGGCTGTTCATGGATGCTCTGAAGCAGCCATGTTCAGCCTTCCTACGATTTTGTGCAGAGCTGACTATAAAGCTAGATGGTTGTAATTTTTTCCCTTTTTTTGCCAATTAGCTATAACTCAGGATCCAGACAAGTTCACAATTCATAGATTCCCAGATTTTTTGGCCCAAAGGAATTATTGTGATCACCTAGTCTGACCTCCTGAATAACTCTGGCCACAGTATGTCCTGCAGCAATTCCTGCAAGAGCCCAAAAAGTCTGGGCGAGCTAGAACATATCTATTAGAAAGACACAACCCCTATTAGGACTGAAATATAGAAGGGCTGATTTAAGATTTCATGTGACAGGCAATCCACCACGTCCCTATATAAGTTGTTCCAACGGTAATTTACTCTCACTGCTCAAAAAGGTGTCCCTTTACTCTAGTCTGAATTTGTCTAGCTTCAGAGTCCAGACACTGAATCTGCAAAACATGGCTGGAAAATCTGCACATGTCATTTTAAGAGTCGCATTTTAGACACTCACATATCACAGTGACGAGCACAGTAGATCATTCAGTCTGAACTCCCATATGTCACAGGCCACTAAACACCACCCAGGTGCCTTCATATCATGGCCAACAACTAGAATTTTAAAAGTATTACAGCTTACTAGAGATTCCCAGGCAAAGAATAGGAGGGAGGGAGGAGCACCAAACCCCAAAACTCATACAATGTCAGGGAATTGATTTGCTGACATATACCCAGATCATGTTGCAAGGAGTTCCACTGGCTAATAACATGTGTATGAAAAAGATTTACCTTTACCAGATGAGAACTGATATCTATATATTTTTCTCCTCATTCTGTCTCATGAATACATACAGTGATTCCCAAATTCTTCCAAAAACTGGCCAGGCTTTTCCCCTCTACCCACTTCAGTCTTTATCTTGAAGTATTTTGGTAAATCTAGAGTAGACCCCATCCCAAATCTTCATTTTCCAAGTTAGGGATGTAAAAACATGTTTAAAAATGTAACTGTGTTACCACTAAAAATCCTAGTGGTTTAAGTTACATGAACAGCTAGCTTGTCCGATAAACTGTTACATCCCTGCTCCAAGTGTAGAAAAACATCGCTCAGTGACTTGTATAGCACCATGCTACTGCCTGCAGTCCTGAATTCCATACAAATCAACCTAGTACAACAGTTCCATCAAAGTGAAATTAAAAGGGTCTGGAGTAAATTGAAGTGCTGCAGTAATACCTGAAAATTAGGGATCGGGTTTATTGTTGGCAGCCACGCTGATCTTGGATTCTCCTGGTATCGGAAAGGGCCATTAAATGCCTGAGTAATAGCACTGAGGTTGAAGGCACATACTGCTGAAGCAGCTATACTGTTTCTGGAAAGGGGAAAAATCAATTTAATCATTAGAACATTGACAATTTCATCATAGCAGACATCAAACTTCACTTGAACAAAATACATGTAAATTACTAGGTAAAAGTGCAGTGCTACAGAACTCAGGAGGAAGAAAAAAAATCCAGCTAGATTAGATGAGAATCTTGAGAATGAATGTTAAACTCAGTTGTAAAATATAGAACATAAGAACATAAATACAGCGATACTAGGTCAGACCAATGGTCCATCCAGCCCAGTATCCTGTTTGCTGACAGCGGCCAATACCAGATGCCCCAGAGGGAGGGGACACAACAGATAATCCTCACGTGATCCCTCTCCTGTCACTCACCTTGGGAGAAACAGAGGCTAGGGACACCATTCCTACCCATCCTGGCTAATAGCCATCAATGGACCTAACCTTCATGAATCTATCTAACTTGTTTTTGAACCCTGTTAAAGTCCCAACTTTCACCACATCCTCTGGCAAGGAGTTTCACAGGTAGACTGTGCACTGCATGAAGAAAACTTCCTTCTGTTTGTTTTAAACCTGCTGCCTATTAATTTCATTTGGTGACCCCTAGTTCTTATATTGTGGAAATATGTAAATAACTTTTCCTTATTCACTTTTTCCACATCAGTCATGATTTTATAAACTTCTATCATATCCCCCCTTAGTCTCCTCTTTTCTAAGCTCAAAAGTCCAAGACTTTTTAATCTTTCTTCATATGGAACCCTTACCAAACCCCTAATCATTTTTGTTGCCCTTTTCTGAAGCTGTTCCAATGCCAATATATCTTTTTTTAAATGAGGAACCACATCTGTACGCAGTATTCAAGATGTAGGTGTACCATGGTTTTATACAGAGGCATTAAGATATTTTCTGTCTTATTCTCTATCCTTTTTTTAATTATTCCTAACATTCTCTTTGCTTTTTTGACTGCAGTTGAACACTGAGTGGATGTTTTCAGACAACTATCCACGATGACTCCAAAATCTCTCTCTTGAGTAGTTGTAGCCAAATTAGCCCCCATTATATTGTACGTATAGTTGGGATTATTTTTTCCAAAGTACATTACTTTACATTTATCAACATTAAATTTCATTTGCCATTTTGTTGCCCAATCACTTAGTTTGCTGAGATCTTTTCGAAGCTCTCTGTGGTTTAAAAGCCATGGACACAATCCTGACATGAAGCATGCATATTGTTTAATTTGCATGGATTATTTGTGTCCGATTTTAGTTGCTATTTTTTTTTAACATCCCATCAATCCTGCCTCATAATGAACAGACTAATTTTTTTCAGGTGACATTGAAATTCAGTTTCTGTGGATGCCTGAAATCTACAGATGCAAAAATATTCGAGAGAGAGAGCTAGCACTAGACGGCTATTGCAGCAGTCCAACATACAGGAAGATCTTGCTATTCTCTAGAAACCACCATTCACTTCTTTGTCCCCCCAGCTGAGCATAGAATCTGTCTCAAGAATGCATGGCCCAGCACAGAGGAATCAATATCTGGAACAAATGCTCCTGGACTATCTGCAAGGAAACTTGTTCCAGCAACTTTACCCTACTCAGTCATCATATCCTGCAGCTCAGGGGGCCCATGCTGCTCCAGTAAAAGCATGTGTCGGCAAGGTGCTGAGCACACTCAACTTCTGACTTCAACAGGCAGTAAGATCACCCAGAACCTCCCAGGGAGGGTTCTACATCGAAGTAGGAGCAAGCCCTAGTCATAGATACTGACTTAAGTGGCAGGGCTTGTATAAGCACAACTTGGAATTCAAACCATTCTTTTTAAAGGAAGAAGAAGAAAATTAGAGAGAAAGACATCACTTTAAAAATAAAAATAGGCCACTAAGGGATGGCATGAGAGATTGACTTGTCATGGTACCTTCTAGATAACCCAGAGTTTGCTTGACATCTCAAGCTGCTAATTAAAGTAATCTGAATTCTCTGAAAAGAACAAATTTTTACTAAACCGATAATTACACTCACAAAAAGCTTCTCTACATGATTTCAGACAGGGAACCAGAAGGACAGATTCTTTCACAGCAGAATCATCTGGAGCAACCCAATATAAAGAGGAACTTTCCCCCCTCCATTCCCTTTTCCTTCCTCCCCCCTCTCCACAACCGCTCCTCTCTGCACCTTCCATTCCACTGCGCAGTGGAGCAGCTCTCTTTGAACATGTCAAAGCAACGCAAGCCGAACCTTTCTCCACTTCTATCTGAATGCCACTGACGCGGTGCATGTTCACAGAAGGCAGCTCTTTAGACAAAGCTAATGATGGGTGACAACTAACTGCTTCAAGGCACGCACACACAAAAAGCCAGTCTAAATAAAGCAGCACAGTTTTTCAAAACAGAATGGATTCTTATGAGCTCTGCTAAACTTTTCAGACTCAAATTCCTTCTCACTGCTGAAGATGAGTGAAGAGAGATGAATCTCTCCTCCAAGGCAGTGATGTTTCACCTCCTGACTATGAAAAGTTTGATCCAAATCTTAAACCACTGACATTAATTTCTCTGTACAGGTGTTTCTGGGTGATGCATAGACCATATGTAGCTATTCCCTTCATTCACATCCAATATTAGTGGTGATGATCAACCAGGATGTTTGGAAAATGGGTTAAGTTCAAAATGTGATCTCAATGACCTCATAAAAACACTTTAATAACAGCTTCTTAAATATTTCAGAAGTTACTTCCCTAAATAACCATCTGTTCTGCTGACTTAGACGTTGTGTAATATTGAGCTGTTTGTCAGATTTTTTGCAGTGAAGCATGATAGAAGCCGATCATCCTTTGTTGGGAAATAGCTCCGATCCCATTAAACTCACGTTTTCAAAAAGTAATCATACTTTTAAACAAAATCATGTCTCTTCAGTGTACCATCACAACTCAGGAGAGATACACAGACTGTACTATAAATTAGCCTTACGTGGCATGCAAAACACATACAGCATGATACAAATCCTGATGGATATTAAAAGAATAATTACCATTATTTCCCTAGTTATATGACAAATCGGAACATTTTCCTTTTTGAATTCTAGAAAGAACATTCTATCATAGCCACAAAAAACACTACTCAATCTAACTTTAGCTATTGTCAATAATAAAGCATCTATTCACCAGTGTTACATAATACATGGTTCTCAGCAGACGGAGGAGAGAAGGATGAACTAAGAATAGGGATGGGTCTTTTAAAGCCATGGAGTAACAAGAGTGTCTAACTGTATCTCATATAGGGATTGGGTAACACTTATTACATTCTGTGTTGCTTAAAATTAATAGGAAAAGTGATGATGCAGACACAGCAGGTGAATAGCCTAGCTAACTGATGCCATTCAATACCTTCTCCCAGTAGATTCTAAAAGTCTCAAGAGGGGTAGCCTTGTTAGTCTGTAACTAAAATAACAAACAACAACAATGGTCCTGTCGCACCTTAGAGACTAACCAAATGTTGTTTTTAAAGTTATTTTTTTCCAATAGATTCTAAGTATACCAGTTGTTGATTATAATGTAGTATTGATTTTTTAAATGATAATTTCAAACTTTCCAGTGTCCCTTCAATGTCTGCACTGCAAAATGGTCAGTAACATAAGCACTGTCTCATATCTTCATCAGAAACTCGAGCCAAGTTTCTTTGTAGGGTCAGGATGTTTGGCTAACTTCCTTTCAGTAGAGAGTTGATGCAAAAGTTCAGATTTAGGTTAGATTTTCAATAAAGTCCACAGGGTGTTTGGATCTGGGTTTGTGGTTCAGGACCATTGCCCACTTGTATTTTCTTCTGTCAGCAGTGCACTGGCTAGTTCCTGGCTGATTTTGGCAGTGAACGTGCAGAAATAGCACAAGATAGATACATACAGCCTACTGTCCATTGTCCCTCTTGGTGTTTAAAGAGTATGGGGGGGAAGTGTGGCTCCACTGACTCCGATGGCTAAACTCCCACTGCCTTCAGTGGAGCCAGGATTTCACTGTTAGGGCTGCAATATCTATGCATAGAATCATAGAATCCTAGAGCTGGAAGAGACCTCAGTGGGTAATTGAGTCCAGCCCCCTGCCCAAAGCAGGACCAATCCCAACTAAATCATCCCAGACAGGGCTTTGTCAAGCGGGGACTGAAACACCTCTAGGCATGGAGATTCCATCCCCTCCATGGGTAACCCGTTCCAGTCCTTCACCCCTCTCCTAGTGAAATAGTTTTTCCTAATATCCAACCTAGACCTGGGTAGCAAAAAGCACAAAGAAGCGAGAGTTGTTCAGGCAGACGTTAGTCCCGATCTCAGTATCAGTGGAGCCCATGCTAAAACAGCATGATTCTTTACAGTCTCCCTCTAGCTCCTGTAGAGAGGTTAATGAATTTGCTATAGCTTTTGAGCTAAGCAATCAAGTTCTTTAGTTCAAAAAGCAGAGATTCGTGTGCTGAGATCCAGGGATCCCAAGCTCAATTTCAGCCAAAGACAACCCCCCCGGGAGCATCACTGTATGTAAGCAAGACCCTTATTTGAGTGTGATGCCAAGTCTCTGCCCTGCATGGGCTATTATTTTTGGGGGGCCTGCCTTTACTCACACTGAGCAATATCTTAATCCATGAGTATCCCCACAGAAGTGAGCTACATGAATTAGGCCCACTGAGTATCGTTTCTTATACAATTCAAATTTCATCTTCTCATTCATGATTCAATCTAACATAAACCGCAGAGAGTATTATTGTGACCTCATAAATGGGCCTACTAGTAGCAGTGAGAAATTGTTCTCATCTGAGCCAGGAGTTTGGAGAAGCCTGGTTTATGCTCATCTAACCTTTAAAAAGTATATAAAATACAAAAAAAAAAATCATAATATGTTTTTAGCTCTTCTCTCATTCTAGCCTCAGGGTTCTCACGCATACATTCCCAAAATCATCCCAGTGCAACTTCCTAAAAAATGATTCTAAAATCAGAAAGGTGCTATGACAATCTCTAGTTATGTCTTTCTATTTTATAGTTCACGCTTCTCCCTCAAAGTTCTAAAGGGTACTTTGCCTCTAAAGGATCCTTGAGAAGTAACTGACTGGGACTGACAGTGAGACAGGAAATATGTCAATTTCATTGTATTGGGGGTTGAGGATGGTATGTGGGGTCTAAACATGATTGAAAGTACCACAACTCACACATTGGTAGTGAAGACTCCATAGATTAGGTCTTGCTCAGGAAGATAGAAGGTGCTTTGGAGTTCGTTGTAGTAGAAGGGAATTTCTCCAGAGCGGGAACAGTTCAGCCTGGCCTTCATAAAAGTTGTCCACGTGTCCTCCAGCAAAAATCTCCCCCCAATGTCATTTTTGCAAACCCTGGCCACGCGAGAGTAGACAGTTTTCCCACAATCGTGTTCTACCGCATTCTCACGGAAAAAGAAGTAGGTGAACAAACCAATGTCATAGGCAGCAATAAAGTTGGGTTCTGGAAAACAGATGTGCAATCAGATTTATACAGCTCAGAAACTGAATGTTGCTCATTGAATTGCCTTGTGCATTGCACTGTTAGGCTGTAAGGGACATGTGTGTAGTCACCCTAGAATATAAGCCACCCTCCTCCTTTTCATTGTTGAGTTTGTACCTCTGATGTGTTACATATATGGTTTGAATCAGCTCCTTTCATATGCCACCAGACTCTGAAGCAAAGGAAAAAAAGTTTGGCCAATGAACAATATTCTCATTGAATTGCCTTGTGCATTGCACTGTTAGGCTGTAAGGGACATGTGTGTAGTCACCCTAGAATATAAGCCACCCTCCTCCTTTTCATTGTTGAGTTTGTACCTCTGATGTGTTACATATATGGTTTGAATCAGCTCCTTTCATATGCCACCAGACTCTGAAGCAAAGGAAAAAAAGTTTGGCCAATGAACAATATT